GGGGGGGCAGGGGGTAACGTGGGGATAAGGACACATATATAATATCTTAATCAATAAAAAATATATTTAAAAAAATCTTATGAAACTATTACTGCAAAAAGATAAATCTGTTGGACAAATACTGGAGAGAGACTAATTCAGAATGATAAAAATTAAAGTAGGAACTGAAATAAAGTGGCAAAGTTAAAAACATTTTAAAGAGAAATACTGCCAGGGTTTGGCGACTTGAGATAACTCCTTAAAATTACCTTTATGTATCCTCTCTTCTGTACAATTAAACTTACCTCTTAACAATTCATCTTATGTTTTTATGTATGGTTCAACAATGTCCTAATCTCCTGCTATATATACCTCAGCCATTTCCAGAAATGGAGGGTGCTTTGGAGCTATCTTTTAATGGAACTCATTTCTGTATCCAAAATACTTTATTTTTCATTATGAAATTCTGGGTCAAGATGACCCTCAAAAGTTCATTAAAAGACTTGCTAATCCAGAAATTAATAGGTTGAAGTGTTTTTTTAAAACAGCTAGATTTATTTAACAGGAGCAGATGCTTATGTTGAGTATGGCAGCCAACCAAGATTTCTGCCTTTGTTTAGCAACAGCCATCTCAGTTTAATGTAACCCAGTTATTTTTTATTACCATATCAGAAGCAGTTATATTCCAGGAAGATGAGGTGCCAGTTCCTTAGGTTTACCTCTAATAAACACTCAGTATAAATCAGGATATAAAACTACATAGATTGAAAAACACATGTGACTTTAAGAGCAACCTGATAGTCTCAGGAGCATACTGAAAGAAAGGGGTTTTCTCCTATTTAATACTTTGAAAGTTACTACAATGATTCTTTTTTTCACAAGGAAAAAAAACCCCAACCCATTGAAAAATAAAGGTCTAATTTAATCTTAAATCAGAGCCACCTGCCAGAGAGATTAATCCTAAAGATAAATTATAATTTGCGATTACATTCATGTAATTACGTTCTTTTGCAACATTCAAGACTTTTAATTCGGATGCACACTAAATGTTTATCCTCCTGATGCAAAACCAAGCGTATCGCCAGATGGGAGTCAGCTTTACTATCTCCCAACATCTGGCTCTAAACACACTGCCAAAACGACGTCACTTTTAATGTTGACTTAGACCTGAGAACTCAGAGTCCCAGTCTAGGCTCTGATGTAGCCCTGTGGTATGATCTAAAAGCCTGATAACAGCTACTTACACAATAAACAGGTCAAGTGGATTAGCACATGCATTATAATCGAGTACATTTGAAAAGTATATTTATGAAAGTACTTATTTAACCTAGATTTCAGAAAATTTATGGTCAAGTCCTATTTTCTAAAATAAATAAATAAATAAAACATATATATGTGTATATATATATATATAGTATTGTACTGAACCATAGATTTTACTTGAAAACCTAGGGTGATGACAGGATCCTTCTGGCTGTTTACCTGGGAGCTGCAGAGAGCAATACTGGCATTGCAGGTGCCTTTAAATTTCTAGAAGAGTTGAGTTTGGGAGAGAGGGGCAAGCGGACTAGAGAAGGATAGTGGACCTTCTCTACTATTAATACCATTTCATTAAAAACTGCCCTAACCGGTTTGGCTCAGTGTATAGTGCGTCGGCCTATGGACTCAAGGGTCCCAGGTTTGATTCTGGTCAAGGGCATGTACCTTGGTTGCAGGCACATCCCCAGTAGGGAGTGTGCAGGAGGCAGCTGAATTGAGGTTTCTCTCTTATCGATGTTTCTAACTCTCTATCCCTCTCCCTTCCTCTCTGTAAAAAAAATCAATAAAATATATTTCAAAAACAAAACTGTCTCACCCTCTTATACATATACATACCCATAGACACATATGTGTACACTTCCATTCTGTAAGGCTTTCATTGTATTTCTAGATTTAAATAGTATTGGACCTAGAGAATCTTCATATACCATAAAACATGTTTTATAATTAAAGTTTAAAATGTTCCATCTGCTGAGATAACCTTCAAAAGCATTTCATGCCAGGAACACTATATTATACTTACCATTCTCAAGTAAGACATCCACAGCTACGGTTGTCAGGTCCTTAGTACAAGCAGCCCGAATGTCCTCAGTAGGAGCAATGAACGTGCTAAGTCCAGTTATTTTGTTAATGTAAACCATTCTTCCCAGGGCTACATCAAAATGCTGTTGCCAATCCAAAGAACATGTGTTTGACTCTTCATTTTCAGAACAAGTTGCTATAGATTCCTCACTCTGAAAACAAGTTCCATTTGGGTTTGCTGTGGAATCGTCCTTGTGACTTATTAACATTCTACTGGGAGAGTTAGGACTTCCCATCTGTTGTTCTGAAACTGTAAGAACATCTGAATCTTTACTAAGTGCAGAGCTATTATAGTGAACCACCAAACTTGCTTCTGGTATCACAGAGTTCTCTGTTGTATTGTTAGAATATGCTTCACTATCTTCATTGAAGGAATTATCCTGTGAGACAGAGTCCGGCATTGGGAGGATGATACTCTCTGTGTTTTTATGCTCATTTTTAAATAACATACAAGCATCTAGGGATAACCCACTGCAGAAGTCACTGTCTTTTCTACTGGAATCTGATGGTGGACGTTCAATAAAATGACTCATCTCCATTATTGGAGTCTCTCTTTCAGAACCTTTCATTTTGGATAATTTAGAGGCTAGTGACTCAGGTGATTTCTCAATATCCAAAGGTTTTCTGTTCAAATGGCATAGATCCTTTAGAGTTACAGGACTTTCTCTTGAGCAAGGCATCTGTTGTTCTAAACAGTCTTCTTCCTTGGAGAATGGAAAGTTTCCCGAATGAAGGATGTGACTTATAGGTTGACAACTACTATTTGAATCATTATGTTTCATAGTAGTGATTTTACACATACCAGAGTTATCTATGTGGTTTTTGTCTCTACATGGAATGTCAGGTTCAACTTGAGGACTGAGATTGGTAGTGATTTCAAAATTATTATTTTCCTCCACTTCTGTATTCAGAGGATTTTTAACCTTCCCATATTGTCTCTTAAACTTCTCTAAAGATCCTAGTTGTGGATTTAAGCTTAGCTTCTTAGGGGCTATGGGCCTGGATAAACCAATCAACTTATCTTTTCTCTTACTATCATTTGAAACTTTTGAAACATGCCTACACCAAGAGAAAGAAGACGTGTCAAGTAATAAGCCACCTGTGTGTGATTTTTTACTACCATCCTGCAAAATAGCAAAATTTTTGTAAGTTGGTATAGGTTTGTTCTCTAGCCTAGAACTTACATTTGTTCTGCACAATTTTTTGTTAGACAATTGAGCAAATTCTGTACGTAAAGTGCTGGTTAAATCTTTGATGTTTGGAGTCTCAACTGAATGGCGTGTTCTATTTCCAAGTGTTTCTTTGGCACTCACAGGACCAGGTCGAACACAATTTTTAAATAAATGTTCTGTTTCAGTTTGCTCATTTTGTACCACATGAGTTATAAAGCCAGTGGAACATAGTTTAATTTGTCCATAACTAAAAACATTTCTTCCACAATTACTAGGTTCTTTTTTTCTTTTCTCTTCCTCCCGCTGAGCACCATGTACTCTCAGTAATGTTGTCTCAGAAGGCAGAGGTTGGCATCCCATTTCAGTAGCACCTTTAAATGTCTCTAGTTGATTCTGAATTCTGTTCTTTTTCAGGATGTCAGCAGCCATGTCATTAACAGTAGTACTTGCTTTCTGTATTTCTAGATCTCCACTCTCCTCAAAGTGATCTAACGTCTGAAAAGGGCTTGCAGGCATTTCTGAATTGGTTCCACATGGATTTTCTAAAGAGTTAAGTTCCAAGCAAGATTGTTTATGTTTCTCATTTTCTCCTGATTCTGACGCTTCAGGTCTCTCTTGTTCTAAGACCCTTGATTCTGAGCAAGAGCTATCTTTGTTTTGTAAAGTTGACTCTGTCATTTTACTATGACCTGGACCATCAGATTCATAAGTATACAAAAATGAATCATTTGTCTGTTTTCTGATCGCTTCTGAATTCCTAGAATTCTGTGTGTTTATGTTTTCTGTAGCTTTTCTTTTTACAGCTTTTGATTGCAAATTAAACATTTCATAGGAATCCAAAATATTATTACATGCTTCTTGGAAACTGTCTCTGTCACACTTCTCATTAGAAGACATATGCTTCTGAAAAGTAGTGCTAAATAAACTAAAATCATTATCTTCACTGAATTCCTTAATATCTTCACCTGACAATTCCACAAATAATTTTTCTTTCTTTAAAAACATCTTCATTCCTTCTTGAATGCAAACCAAAACAGTATCCCAGTTCTGAAACTCAATCAGAGTTTTTGCTGGCTCCATGCACACATCATATTCACAGAACTGGCACTGTATATTGATTACATATATCCCATGGAGTTCTGGGTGAGACCGATGCCGAGGACTTGAATTCATTTGCCTACTGGCAGAGCCATTTTTTGGCTTGCATATAATACTTTCTTTCCTTAATAAAAAGTCAATGAGTTTATGCAACTTTGTCCTTAAAACTAGCCTTTTGTTCACAAATAAAAACTGCATATTCTTATTGTAATGGGCTTCAGAGCTGATATAGCCACTAAGTTCAAACTCCTTATATTTAAAATTTATTTCTCTTAACTTTTGGGACTTACTTAGTCCATAAATTTGACAAAATCGGGAACATACATCTTTGGTTTTAGGGAGTTGAAGAACCATGGAACCAGAAACATCATTTCTCAGAGAGAAAGAAATGGAAGGGTGCATGAGTGAGAGAGCTTCGATCCTCTGCCTAACCTTCCCAAACTCCAGTCTCGGATCCATGCATCTCCTCCTTACAGGTAACTGATAAAACAGGTTATATACTGTTACTGTTGTCCCAGCACTTGGTCTAGTCAAGTCAGCTTCAAAGGCATTCAGGGCTTTTCCATTCTGAAACAGTTTCACAAAAGTTTTCATTGTCCCATTTTTCTTGGATGAAATTTCCATAGCACTGGCCATGTCAGCTATACTGGCCAAGGCCTCCCCTCGGAAACCATAAAACCTTGGGTTCTCCAAGTCCTGTACGGAGTTGCATTTACTAGTGAAATAACGATTTCCCACCTTGTCTACATCATCGCTCCCTATCCCAAATCCATTGTCTATCACTTGGATTTGGAAGATTTCCATGTTCACCCTCACAGCCACACATTTTGCTTCGGCATCAATACTGTTGAGGGCAAGCTCCTCCACACATTGGCCTAAGGAGCATATGGCCAAACCAGAACGCAATTTGGCTTGTACTTCAGCTGACAAGCACTTGATCATGGCAGGTAGAAAACTGGTGAGAATGCCAGGCAATGGTTTCCTTTTGTGGCTGTAAATAATGGCCTTTGGGAGAAAAATAAAACAAAAACACACACATATGAAAGCTTCGGGGTTAAACAGCATTACCCATTTTTCTGAGGCATTATAAAAAATACCACTTGACGTAAATGGAATTTCTTATTAAACCACGTTGTAAAACAAAACAAAACAAATGACAGCTCTGATCTCTAGGCAGATCACACAGCTCAGGTTTGATGCAATGGACTTAACATCCAAAGCAGCTCTGATAATTTCATAATTTTCACTGACCCCATCTAAATCCCACATGCCCTGAAGTGAAATCATAATCACATTTGAAGTTGACCCATGAAGATAGTGTTCAAAATTCTAATCACTTTACCAAAAACAGATGCCCAAATTCCACTAACATTAGCTAGAAATTATTCACACACAAAACTCCAAGCTAGTTTCATAACATTTATACATTACACAATAACCATGACTTTTAGAAAAAACTCATAATAAAATACTAAGACACTGTAATAAGAAGGTGAAGGAACAGGATGAAATAAATACAAATTATTGTATGAAGAAGAAATGGGCATTAAGAGATTATTATTAATTATTATTATTATAGTTAAGTGGAGGTAACCTCAAGGGAAGAGACTGGGAATGGGAAAGGTTAAGGCAGTAAAATTCCTTTTCATTATAAGCCTTTCAGAATTATTTTACTTTACTTTGATAAAGTTTTCAGACGTTTATTAATATCCTTTTGTGTTAATACCCTTTTGGTCTTTACAATGGCTACAAACTACCTCGGCAATAACAATGATGGTAGGGAGCTGTCTGACCTGGATTTTTTAAATTCCTCCCAGTAAAAAAAGAAAAATTTAAGATTATGGTGCAATTAAAGGTACTAGCTCTTCTTCATAGGTAAGAGAGCAGCGTAGTCTAGACCTCTTTCAGGCGGTGGGCTGGATTTTCAAACCCGGGAAAATCCGAGCTATAAGTGCAGATCTGATTATTTCTACGGCAACGCAAAGCTCTGAGGGGCGGGGCCGCGGCCGCAGGCCCCTCCCCTCCAGGCTCAGCCTCCGCCCCCGCCCCGCCCCCGGCTCCGGGAAGCTGGCCCGCAGCGGGGTCACGACCCTTCTGGTGTTAGACGAGCTCCCGGAATCATCCTTTCGCCGCGCGCTTTCCCCCAAGTCACCTCCAGTCACCTCTACCAACTCGAGATACCAACCGCCTCGGACGCCGGCTGTGCCTCCTCGGCTCGCGAGGCTCGTGCACGCGCGAGTCGGGAGCATGCGCTTCGGAGATTCGCCGAAGTCCCTGTCCTCCGAGACAGTGCGCACGCGCACGCAACGAGTCCCCAGGCCTTTTCACACTGGAATTCCTGAATTCCCAATCCTTATCCCCTTTTAGCGTGGCATGAAAAACTACTTATATTAATTTTTACTTTTGTCCTTTGTTTCCTCTTTTCCGTTTCTCCTTTGCACGCACTACCATTTAATTCAATATATTATTTGCTCATTGTCTTCTCTCACTAGAATGAAAGCCATATGAAGGTAAGGATTTTGTCTATTTTATGGCTGTATCCCCATGGCCTAGAACAGTGCCTGACTTATGTTAGGCACTCAGTGAATGAATAAATCCACAGCCTTCCATCTTATCAGATTAAAGCGTTTAAGAGCTGGTAAGACTGAGAAACTAAATTCTAAATTTACGGACGAGGATACCTAGACTCCATTGCCTTTTTTGGGTGTTTTCCTAATACACCACAACTTCTTTGCTAACAGAAGAGAGTGGAACACGGTGAAAATAGGTGTTTTGGGAATCATTAACCAGCTTTTACTCTAATTTTCATTGAAACATTATTCATTTTTTTAAAATGTTTTTGTTTTTTTAGAGAGAAAGGGAGAGGGAAACATCGATGATGAGAATCACCGATAGGCTGCCTCCTGTAAGCCCCCTACTAGGGACAAGTCCACAACCGGGCATGTGCCCTGACAGGGAATCAAACCGGTGACTTCATGGGTTAATGCTCAACCACTGAGCCACTCTGGCTGAGTGAAACCTTATATTTTTAAAATTTAGAATTTGTGACAAATTTGCCAAACCCAGTAAGCATTCCATGTATACCTGCTTAATGGTTGACCAAGCCAAGCAGGAGATTTCTAGGGCTAATGAAGCAAAATCCTGAGTATTGCTTCTATCAGTTTGTCATAATAAACCACCACAGACTGGGTGGCTTAAACTAGGTATTTTGTCACTGTTCTGGAGGCTAGAAGTCTGTGATCGGGCTGTGAGACATGGCAGATTTCTTCTGGGGACTCTATCCTTGTTTTGTAGATGGCTGGTTTCTCCGTCTTCACATGTCCTTTCCTCTGTGCTGTACATGTGTCCAAATTTCCTCTTCTTATGAGGACATACTACATTAGGGCCCACTCTCATGACTTCATTTAACTTCATTCAAAGTTACCTCTCAAAAGACCCTATCTCCAAATACAGTCACATTCTGAGGTACTAGGTGTTAAGACTTCAACATATGAATTGGGAGGAGGCACATAATTTAACCCACACCAACTGCTTTTTGTGAATTCCATACCCAGAGAAAATGACAGAAACTCAATAAAATTAAAAGTAATTAGTCCAAAACATCATTTGAGCAGCTAACAAGTTGAACTTGTGGGATTTGTTCTTAATAGGTGTGCAACTTCCTGAAGAAAACTTCATGGAAACCATTCAAAGAAATGAATCAGAGTACCTGCTTTTTCTTTCAGACCTCTTTAAATTACCTCGAAATTATCTTCCCACAGATGTTTACTGAGTAAATATCTCTTATTTTGCCCAAAATGAATTTCGCCCTACAGATGGTTCTGATGTGTTTTTATTAGAATTGTGTACAGTTGTAATCATTCCTTCCATCATACATATTATATACAGTAACATTCAGGTATCTGAAACTAAAATAACTTACTGAAAAATTCTAATATTACTCAGAATAATTCTATATTAACAAGAAAAGCAAAACCTCTGAGTTTCTCTTAGAAAATTTGAAATCAGGGCATTATTTTACAATTTGGAAATCTGAGTAATCCAACTTTAAGATGACTTTCTCATTGTTGAAGTTTGCTCTGTCGATGTGCGATTTGGGACTTCCTTTTGTCTCAAGCCATTCCTGCATATGACGCACTTTGGAGATGGGACCTTGCAATTGTCCTTGCACTGTGCCCTGGTCTGTGTTCTGGACCCAGCCTACCAATCCCAGCCTTTTACTCTCAGCCTAAGGGAAAGAAAAAAAATAAGAGAAATCCAGTGAGATTAAACAAAACAAAGTGAGACTACAATCTTTGCCAGAATCTTGGTCTAATATCAAGCCACTGAAACTAATTTGATATTGTCCAGAACAGTCAAAACAGAACAAGAATCTCATTGCTGATTTTAACATGAAATGTTGGCCACTTCACTTCATTTCCTTCCTCTACCCTATAAAACCAAGCCAGAATTTTTCACTATGTAATATTAATGACTCAAGACAAAATCAGATGCTTTCAAAATGATTCCCTAAGGCTAATTATTGTTAGGATGCTGGGCTGTATGTATCTTATACATTTTCCCTTCTCCTAATCAAGAATCTCTTGGGTATATTAAGTAGAAAAAGCATCAAGTTTATCTGATCCTTCTCTTTGTCTTTAATCAGGACCACACCTAAACAAATCCAGATGAGTAAGTGTCTTTTATATCTTTAAAGATCATTAGAGAGTATTTCACAATTTCCTGGGCAACTCATCCCATTGTTCTCCCTTTAGAGAAACTGTCTAACAAACTGTCTTTATGTTGCATCCAAAGCCCACTTTCTATCATCCTCCTAGAGAAGGAAGGGCAACTGGTAATCAGCCTCTGAAAAACAAAGTTTCATAACTGTTAGGTTTCGCACTTTACTTTCTTTTCTTCTAAACTGAATAAGCTTATGAAGACCATCTAATCATTGTAGTTGCTCTTTTCTTATCCTTTCTAGTGTTTTTCCTTTTAGTCATTAAACTGTGGAATTGCCAAATATTTAGAAAGGTATACCAGTGCTTAGAGGTAATTTTATTTTTGTAAAATTTCCAAGTAAGGATATTATAAAAATTACTAGAGGCCTGGTGCACAAAAATTTGTGCACTCGGGAAGGGGGGGTCCCTCAGCCTAGCCTGCGCCCATTCACAGTCCAGGACCCCTTGGGGGATGTCCATCCGTCGACTTAGGCCCACTCCCCAGAAGACCAGGCCTAAGCTTGCAGTCAGACATCCTTCTGGCAGCCAGGGATCCCTCAGGGGATGTCCAACTAAAGGCTTAGGCCCCCAAGGGAGGTCTAAACCATTAGTTGGACATTCTTAGTGCTGCCACAGAGGTGGGAGAGGCTCCTGCCACCACCACTGCTCTGGCCAGCCATGAGCCAGCTTCTGGCTGAGTGGCACTCCCCATATGGAAGTGCACTGACCACCAGGGGGCAGCTCCTGCATTGAGTGTCTGCTCCCTGGTGGCCAGTGCGCATCATAGCAACTGGTCATTCTGCGTTCAGTCAATGTGTATAGCCTTTTATTATTATTATATAGGATTGTTAAAGTAATACATCTAAATAGAAGGGATTGGATTACAAAAGAAAATGGAGTTAACATGATTTTATGCCAGAGTAGTGACCTAGTAAATGTGGGAAATTGCTGGAGTTGGCCAAAGAAAATGTTATGCATAGCAAAACCATGTTTGATGAGGAACTGAAATAGCCAATAAATCATATGTTCAAAGTAAAGATATAATGCATAATAAACAAAATAAATTGCAGTCAAATAAATACCAATTTAAGGGATACAGAAGAAATTAAGGAATGAAGAAAAATAGGATACCCATAGCATGCTTTAAGTGCAGAAGATGGTGACATAAAAACACGTGGAGCCCAGCCAGCATGACTCAGTGGTTGAGTATCGACCTATGAACTAGGAGCTCACACTTCAGTTCCTGGTCAGGGCACATGCCCAGGTTGCAGGCTTGATCCCCAATGCTGGAGGCAGCCAGTCAATGATTCTCTCCCATCATTGATGTTTCTACCTCTCTCCCTCTCCCTTCATCTATGAAATCAATAAAAATATATTTTTAAAAAACCAAATATGTGGAAAATAGATTTTGAGGAAGATTCCACATCCAACTGACTTGATACTAGTAAAGGTTAGGCCAGCATATAAAAATCAATACATCACATTAATAAATAAAACACCGCATCCTCCTATATAATAAAAGCCTAATATGCTAAGTGTCTGGTCAACCGATTGGCCATTCAACCAATCAAAGCGTAATATGCTAATGATATACTAAGGCCGCTCAACTGCTTGCTATGACGTGCACTAACCACCAGGGGGCAGACACTCTGACCAGTAGTTTAGCTTGCTACTGGGGTCCAGCCCATTGGGACTGGGTGAGATGGGCTGGACACGCCCTGGAGCCCTCCCATGGTCCCTCCCTGGCCCCAATCGTGCAACATTGAGGTCCCTCAGCCTGGCCTGCACCCTCTCACAAGCCAGGACCCCTCGGGGGATGTCGGAGAGCTGGCTTTGGCCTGATCCTGCAAGCCAGGCCGAGGGACCCCACTGGTGCATGAATTCATGTACTGGGCCTCTAGTTAATAAATAAAACAGAAACCAGATGATCATTCATCTTCAATAAATGAAGAAAAAGCATTGATCAAATCCAACGTTTTTTGAGATAAAAACACTCAACAAACTAGGAATAGAAGGGAATTCCTTAACCTGATAAAAGGCATCTGTGAAAAACCCACAGCTAATAGACCTAATGGTTAAAGACTGAAAGCTTTTGCCCAATGATCAGGAACAAGACAAGGATGTCTGCTCTTGCCACTTCTATTCAACATTAAACTGGAGGTTCTAGCCAGGGCAGTGGAAAAGAAAGAATGCATTAATAGTGGGAAGAAAGGAGTAAAATTACCTCCACTCACAGATGACATTCCTTGTATGCAGAAAATCCTAAGGAATGCACACATGCGCGCTTGCACGCACACACACACACTAGAACTAATCAAGTTTATAAGGTGGCAGGATACAAGGTCACTATACAAAAATCAACTCTATTTCTATATACTTGCAATAATGAAAATGAAATTAAGGAAACAATTCCATTTATAATAACATCAAAATAATAAAATTATAAATTTAATGAAAGAACTGGAATACATATGGAAAAGTACAAAACATTGTTGAAAGAAATTAAGGAAGGTCTAAATAAATGGATGGACATCCTATGTTCATAGACTAGAAGACAATATTATTAAGATGACAATACTCCCAAAATTGATCTACAAATGCTATGCCATATTTATCAAAATCCCAGCTGCCTTCATAGCAGAAATCGACAAACTGATTCTAAAATTCTCATGGAAACATAAGGGACCCAGAATAGCTAAATATAATCTTTATAAAGAATAAAGCTGAAGGCCGAAACCGGTTTGGCTCAGTGGATAGAGCGTCGGCCTGCGGACTGAAAGGGCCCAGGTTCGATTCCGGTCAAGGGCATGTACCTGGGTTGCAGGCACATCCCCAGTGGGAGATGTGCAGGAGGCAGCTGATCGATGTTTCTCTCTCATCGATGTTTCTAACTCTCTATCTCTCTCCCTTCCTCTCTGTAAAAAATCAATAAAATATATTAAAAAAAAAAAAAGAATAAAGCTGAAGGACTCAAATATCCTGATTTCAAAATTTACTACAAAGCTACAGTAATCAGTAGATAGATAGTACAGTACTGGCATAAGGATAGACATATAGATCAATGGAATATAACTGGAGTCCGGAAATAAGCCCTTACATTTAGGTCAATTGATTTTTGACAATAGTAACATGACAATTCAGTGGGAGAAATTTTAGTCTTTTTGACAAAAGGTGCTGGGACAACTGATAGTCACGTGTAAAAGCATATAGCTGGACTCCTTACCTCAACGCACATAAAAAATTAACTGAAACTAGCCTGTCCCGCGTGGCTCAGTGGTTGAGCGTGGACCTATGAACCAGGAAGTCATGGTTCAATTCCCGGTCTAGCCTGGACTTAGGGCTCGATCCCCAAGTGGGCGTGCAGGAGGCAGCCAATCAATGTTTCTTTCTCATCATTGATGTTTCTCTCTCTCTCTCCCTCTCCCTTCCTCTCTAAAATTAATAAAAATATATTTAAAAAAAATAACTGAAACTGGATCAAAGACCTAAAGGTAAGAGATTAAACTATAAAACTCTTAGAAGAAACTTTTAGAAGAAAACATAAGCATGAACCTTCTTTCATTACCTTAGATTAGGCAAAGAATTATATTCCAACTTAGATATAAAACTAAAGTCACAGCAAGAAAAGAAAAATAAATTAGACTTCATCAATATTAAAAATATTTGTGCTTCAAAGTTTTCATCAAGAAAGTGAAAAGAAAACCTCAGGAGAAATATTTGCAAATAATTTAAGAGACTAATAGCCAAAATATACGAATATTTTTACAAATCAATAAGACAAATAACTTAGTTAAAAATGGGCAAAGGGCCCTGGCTGGGTAGCTCAGTTGGTTGGAGGGTCATCCTGTACACCAAAAAGTTGTGGGTTCAATCCCAAGTTGAGGTTTATACAAGAGGTAACTGATAGATGTTTCTTTCTCTTTCTCTTCCCCTCTCTCTCTCTCTCTCTCTCTCTCTCCCCCCCTCCCTCCCTCCCTCCTTCCCTCCCTCCCTTCCTTCTTTCCTTCCTTCCTTCCTCTCTTCCTTCTACCCTCTCTAAAAATCAAAGGAAAAAATACCTTTGGGTGAGGATTAACAAAAAACAAAAAGTGTATTATGTAATTTCCATATATTTGGAGATTTTTCCAGTTATTTCTGTTATTGATTTGTAGTGTAATTCCATTGTGGTCAGAGAACATGCTTTGTATGACTTCAATCCTTTTAAAGTCATTGGTGTCTCAAAACAAAACAAAAAAACCACAATGAGAATCCACTTCACACACACTAGGATGGCTCTAATAAAAAAGACAGTATGTTGGCAAAGATTTGGAAAAACTGAAATTCTCATTGATCATGAGACTGCAAAATGTAAAATGATACAGCTGCTTTGGAAAATAGTTTTGCTCTTCCTCACAAAGTTATACTGGAGTTACTATGTGATCCAGCAAGCTACTCCTTAGCATATATACCCAAGGGAATTGAAAACAATGTTTACATAAAAGTGCATAAATGTTCACAGCATCATCATTCATAATAGCCAAAAAGTGAAAGTAACCTAAATGCCCATCAGTTGATGAATGGATATATAAAATGTGGTATATATCCATACATGGAATATTATTCAGCCATAAAAAAGATTAAGTACTAATATGCTATAATATGAATAATCCTTGAAAATATTGTATTAAGTCAAGGTTGGGGAAACTTTTTTCTGCCAAGGGCCAAACAAAATTATCAACTAAAAAATTAGCCTGCTATATTTGGTCAAACATTTAATTAAATCCCCCCCAAAGCCTTAACAGGGCCTGACCAAATGACTTCTCTGGCCTTACACGGCCCATGGGCCAGATGTTCCCAACCCCTGTCTTCCCAACACAAAAGGCCACATAGTGTGTGATTCCATTGACATTAAATGTCCAGAATAGACAAATCCACAGGGACAGAAATGAGGTTAGTGACTGCCAGGGGCTGGAGGGATGAGGGGTGAGTGCTAATGGATATGTGGTTTCTTATGGGGGTGATGAAATGTTCTGGAATTAATGTACAATTTTGTAAATATACTAAAACCCACTCACTTATACATTTTAAAAAGGTGAGTTTTATGGATGTGAATTATATTTCAACTTCAAAAAAGTTCCTTCAAGCATTATCATTCTAGGAGTGATGGAATTTAATTAAGAGGCTAGATTATATCAACATGCAAACAGACTGTAGCAAAACAAAACTGTTAAAATGAATATATATATATATATATATATATAGTAATTATAAGTAATAAAGAATAAGCTACAAGTTTAAGCAGGGAAAAGATGGCATTTTCTGTAAAGTTCTCCAAATCAATATTGATTTTTCTGCATTCTTTTATTGTCTCTAAATTGGGGGGGTGGGGATAGCAGTAGAGAAAAATGAGCTATATTACTCTCTGGTCCTTTTCCCTCAATAACTTTAATTAACCTTCGAAGCTGTCCCCTCCACTTACTATATCACAGGAATTTACCCTGCACAAATGGTAGCAAAGCTAACAGAACATAGCTCTTTGGCTATGATTTTCAATAACTTTTTTCAACAGGTACTTCTATGAGTGTGAAACAGGAGGAAATGATTTGCAAGTAATTGGGGAAAGAGGTAGTGGCATGTAACATTCATATTTCAGAGATTCGGGATGAATTTTAAGTACTACAGTCCAGGGAATGTGACACTTGGAAAGTTCTGCAGTCTTAACTCATTATCTTTGGGGGCTGGAGATACACTGGGCAGGCAAGAGCCCGATAACCCCTACAGAAGACAGAAGGGAAATTGAGATTGCATTTCTGTCTGCATGTTAAGGGAAGATTAATGACATTAAGGCAGAGGTAGCGGCTGTCAGTAGTTTGCTCCTCCCCTCAATTACTCCCTAGTACTCTCGGAGGAATACCAGGCTCCATGTTCAGTGTTACCATTACTTATCCTTGAATGGGTTAAGTGTTTTCATTAGAAAAGCTTCAGCTAGAAAAGATAATTCTTTTTTCAAAGACAAAATGAGTACAAATTAATTGAGAGAATGGGGAAAGGTTGAAGGAGTCAAAGAGGTCTGAAGAAAATGCAGCAGCTACAGAAGATGCTGTTACACCTACAATAATAAACGTGTAATATGCAAATTGACCGAATGGCCGAGTAGGCTCTTGCACGAATTTCGTGCCTAGGGCCTCTAGTAAGTTACATAAATGTCATGCGTTCATCTAAATGCCATCTCCCTGATTAACGCTAGCTTTCCTGTGCAAATTGTGATTGGTCTGATGATGCCAAAACAGGGAGAACTGGGGAAGCCCTCCAATCCCCTTGGGAAGAGAGAAGCTCATTAGTATGTGTCTAGGAGGTACTCAAGTCCCACAGTTAGAAAAATAACAGCAGCAGACTGCCCTGGGCGGTTTGGCCATGGGCCTGCGGGCCCAAGGGTCCCGGTTCCATTCTGGTCAAGGGCAGGTACCAGGGTTGCAGGCTCCTCCCTGGCCCGGGCCCTGGTCGGGGTGTGCACAGAAGCCAACCATCCATGTGTTTCTCTCACATGGATATTTCTCTCTGTCCCTCTCTCTTCCACTCAGTCTAAAAATTAATGGGAAAATATCCTCGGGTGAGGATTAAAAAATAACAATAGTAACAGCAGATAAACCTGCCATTTGTTATCACACCCACTGCTCTGCAACCCCCTTTGCCAGCGGCTCCCGAGCAGCCAGCTCCTCCCACTGCCCTTCCCCTTCGCCGGGACGCGCCCCCCACGGCCCGGGTCCAGTCCCCAAGCCCGAGGACCACACACCTGCGTGTACTTGCGGAAAAACACCCCTTGCACCTTCCCAAACACCTCATAATCCACCGATATCAGGGTGTCCCCTTCCGCCATGTTCATGCTCGAACCTGTCAGACGCCAGGGAAACAGAGAAGTAAGTAGACGGGACTCGTTATCCTCGACCAGAACTCGCAATCGGGGCAGAAAGGCCACCCCACACCCTGGACGCGGCGACCTCTCCCTGGCCTGCCCCCCCAAGCCCCAGGGAACCCCAGGGCATGCGAGCGGGTCCCCGAAAGCGCGGGCCGCGCAGTAACAGGAAGGCGCGGGGGAGTTGGGGTCCCAAATGCCCACGGAGGCCTCTGGGGACAACTCCCTTCCATCCAAGTCCCTTCCCACACCGTCCGCTCGCTCGCCATCCTTCCCGCCTCCCACGGACCTCGCTTGAACACGCCCCGGATTCCTCGCCCATGGAACTGAGGGGCCGTCCGGGCCGGGCTCACCCTCCCGGCCTTCCCGTCCGGAAGCAGGCGGCACAGGTGACCACCGACCACCGACCGCCGCCCCAACGGCTGCCCCCGCGTCGCGTAACCGCCGCTCCGGAAGCTCCGAGCGCAGCTCTTCCTTCGCTGCGTCGCATGCCCATCACGTCTGATGACCAATCAGGGGCGGCGCGCTCGGCCTAAGCCCGCCCAGAGGGTGGGATTTGGGGACCGTTCTCTGGGACAGCGCGGGAGCCTCGGACTGGGATGCCTTGTCGTGAGGAGTGACGGTTTAATTTAATTATCCCGGCTTTTCAGAAAATGGCAGCTGTCAACACTAGAAATTAAAAGTGATGTAAATTATAATGAAGTGCCCAACAGCAACTGTTGTTTCAAAAGGGGCTCTGTCCAGGGTGTCAGCTCGTATTCCACAGACCTCACCTTCACCCTTTCTCTTTTTTAAAACTTCTATTTTTAAAATCTTTATTGTTGAAGGTATTACATTCGCCTAAGAACATCCTGCATATCAGATATTTACATTGCGATTCATAACAGTAGCAACATTACAGTGATGAAGTAGCAACGAAAATAATTTTATGGTTGGGTCACAACAGGAGGCACTGTATTTAAAGGGCCAGAAGGTTGAGAACCACTGAATGCAGACAACTGTGATATCATTGTCTCGTGGGGAGAAAGACGGAGAAACACGAGATAAATTCAACCACTCATTACATATTTGCTGAGAGCCTCTTCGTGTCAGGCCCAGTCCTAGGGAGTAGTTGACAAACTCTAGTGAACAAAGGGATTCCTGGGGGAGCTTACACCCTGGAGATGGAGGCGGACGACAGACATTAGACATCATGAACAAACTGAATAGGACGCATGCAGCCTTCCTGCCCGACCTGTTCTTGCAGCTCTCAGCGTAAGCCCTGCCTGCTCCGGAAGTGGGAGGAGGGGCGGGAACGGTACCAGAGGTCCTGGTGGTGCTGAGTCTCCTCCCGTGTGTGCTGCTGGAAGCTGCCACCCGGGCCTGCCCGCGGGTTGTTTGTATAATTCACATCTTCATGGCAAGAGACTCCACATGTGAGTGTGCGGTGTTGGCAGACTTGGCAAGGAGAGAGATTTGCATTGGAAGTCCTGGGTATTAATCACTTCATTAGTTCCCCACTCAAAATGAGGCTCTGGATCCTGGAGAGTCATGTAACCTAGTGCCAGCATTGGGGTGGGATGGGGTGGGGAACTGAACTGAACGTTATGCTTGGCAATATTTGAAAATAATGCTAAAGGGTACCTAGCTGATGTTTCTTTCTCTAAAACTTATTTAAGCCCTAACCGGTTTGGCTCAGTGGATAGAGCGTTGGCCTTCGGACTGAAGGGTCCCAGGTTCGATTCCGGTCGAGGGCATGTACCTTGGTTGCGGGCACATCCCCAGGAGGGGGTGTGCAGGAGGCAGCTGATTGATGTTTCTCTCTCATCGATGTTTCTAACTATCCTTTTCCCTTCCTCTCTGTAAAAAATCAATAAAATATATATTAAAACTCATTTTAAAAGCTAGTTTCTCTAAAGAATTAAAAACCAATTGAGTATCTACTACGTATAGGACATTGTAGAATATATCAAGATGAATGATATATAACCTTTGTCCTCAAGGAGTTTTTTAATTCAGTGTAAGGAACAAATATGCATGCAAGTAATAATGACAATACAACGCACACCACGCTAATTCAGTCCCATGGACATCCACTGAGAGGTCATCATGAGCCAGCCCTGTGCTAGAACAGGAACAGACAATGTCACGAGAGCACAAAGGAGCAAACATTCATTCTGACAAAGAAGATCGGGAAAACATTCTTGGAGGAACCAGCACATAATCCAACCACAACCAGTAAGTGATGGAGCTGGGCTTTGCTTCCGAGCAGTCTAAGTGCACTCCCATGAATGCTATGCTCTCCCACCTCCCAGGATGTGCAGGTGGAGGTCAGGAAGCACCACGGAGGTAAGATAGTGCAAGCAGTCAGGTGTACTACCAGGGTTTCTCAATCCTAGCTGCACATTGAGACTTCAGGAGGAGGCTCAGCTGGTTGGAGTGTTGTCCCATACACCAAAGTGATTGCGGTTCAATTCCTGGTCAGGGCAAATAACTAGGTTGTGGGTTCCATCCTGTATGGGAGGCAACCTATCAATGTTTCTCTCACATTAATGTTTCCCTCTCTCTCAAAATCAATGAACATATCCTCAAGTGAGGATTAAAAAAAAATACTTTAGGGAGAGCTCTTTAAAATGCCAATACCCAGGTCTCATCCCCAGATATTGCTTCCCAGGTAGTACTAAAGCACAGCCAGGGTGGAAATCCACCGTACTAGACTCGGGGGGCAGGGCTTGAAAGGCAGGCTGGAGGTTGAAGTCCCAGGTTAAAATTACGCATCCCGACTTTATTCCAAGGGCAAGCAGAAGCCTCTGGGTAGGAGAGTGACAGGATCAGGTGTATTTAGGATAATTATTCTGAGAGCAGCATGAAGGATGGGCTTGAAGGTAAGCATTGCAGCTAGGACAGCGATGCTTGCCATCCCAAAGAGAAGTGAGGAAGAACTGGTTACAGGCAGTAGACATGTACAGGAAGAGTCATATATGAGACATTGCAGAGTAAATTCAACAGAGCCTCCTGGCCAGTTAGAGGGAAGGGATGACCAAGAGGGAAGAGTAGAAGGTGACTGGTGCTTTCAGTATGAGAGGGAACAATGGAGAAAAAGTAGATTGAGGGAATGAGGAGATGACCATGGGCTTGTTTCCTGTCATATTCAGTTCGAGATTCCTGAGGAACTAAATGGGAAGTTGGAAATCTGAGTCTGTAACTAAGGAGAGAGAGCTCAGCTGGTGATCATTGAAACATAGGTGACACCTGAAATGTCAGCATTTGGTTGAAACCACTAAGGAAGAGAATGTATGGACCTGCATTTATGTCTGAGAAATAAGGGCTTTGGAGAACACCTAAACTTGGGGGGCAGGTGAGGAAAAGACATGCCAGAAGAAGACAAATGAAGAAGCCAGGGCAAGCACATGAAAGAAGAAAACAAGAAGGCACAGGAGCAAGTGAGAAGAGAGTTCCAAGGGAGTGAAAAATCAATATCAAATAAGTAGCTGAAGAAGTAGCAGCTTTTGTCTTTGGTCCTTGGATGGCAGTTAATAAAGTGGAAATAGTGGAAGCCACACCACAACAGATTGGACAATGAGGGGAAGATGAGAGAGCAAATGTAAAGTTTTCTACCAAGAAGTTGTGGAGAAGAGGAGAAATGAATGGAACCGTAAATAAAAGGCAGCAGGTCAAGGGAAATAAGGTTTGTTTTGCATACAGGGGTGGGCAAAAGTAGGCTTACAGTTGTAATACAAATAAATAATACAATCTATACTAATAAAAGGGTAATATGCTAATTAACAGTTGGGGATGAGCAGGCCAGCGGGCAGAGTGGTTAGGAGTGATCAGGCAGGCAGGTGAGTGGTTAGGAGCCAGCGGTCCCGGATTCCAAGAGGAGTGCCGGCAGTCGGACATCCCCCGAGGGGTCCCAGATTGGAGAGAGTGCAGACTCAGCTGAGGGATAACCCCCCCCCCCAAGGAATTTTGTGCACCGGGCCACTAGTACTTAATAATACAAGAACAAACTGTTTCATGTGCTCACCACTGTAAACCTACTTTTGCTCACCCCTGTATGTGGATAGATACAACTTGAAGTTAACAAGATGGAATCCATTCCCGAAAGGGACTAATTCAAGAAAACTTATGGCAAGAGAAAGGTTCTTCATCCCCAGAAATAAGAAAGAAGTCAAGTTGGAGAGAGGCACTCTAGGAAATTCTGCCAGATTGGAAGGGAGCTACTTGAGTTGATGACAGGCAGGCCTGTTTGCTCAGATAATTGGAACCGTAAGAAGAGTGGGAAATGTCTGGGACTGCATATAGAGATCAACTAGGGAAGAAAACGAAGAAATTAAAAAAAAAAAAAAAAAAAGCCCTGGAGGACCCACCAAGGAATTTCCTTGTAATATGTAAAAGCTGTCATATGACATGTTGAAGTGGTAACACCGCCTGCCGCTGTCTATACTGTGTTCCCTGTGCGTGAATCTTTTAAGTAGTTACAGGAAAAGAGCTGCCTGTTCCAAGCAGCTTACACCAATGACCTGAAGCACGAGGCAAACTCTTCTGATGTTAACGAGCCATGGAATACCATTTAGTGTTGAAACCAGGTTATGCCGATCCTTTTTGATCTGGCAGTTAACTTTATTACCTTTACGTGTGGTGGAGTCATTCTTGGGCCCTGAGCGGAGACTGCCAGAGGTACCACGTGAGAGTAAAACACTCTATCAAAATCATGAGGTTGGCTAGAAAACTACCCCAGAAAGATACAGCCTAGCGAAGCCACACTGCTAAAATGTGACCGCAAAGTCTGAACTATTGCGGAGAAAAGCACGGAGAGATACCGCATAGCCACACGTGGGCCCGCGCCCAGCAGCCCGCACCCCCTAAGAGCGCGGACCTCGGAACCTGCGGCGCCAGGACTGGGGGGCAGAGCGAGGGGCTCCTGCTCCGGCCACGGACGGGCACGCCCCGGGGTCTGGGGTCACTGCTCTCAGACAAATACAAGTTTTTTGACGAAGCCCCAGAAAAGCCTCTCCCATCCCCTCCCTTGTTCCCCAAGGGCACGGAGCGGCAGAGTTGGCGGGACACGGGGTCAAGGGACAGTCAGACCGAACGCAGCTGCCCTGGGCCGCTCCCCTTCATGTTCTGACTGCGCCTGCGCGTGATCCCCCTCCCCACCCGTTACCCCGCGGCGTTCGCGGCGGGAGGCGGGGCTGCGCGCGCACGCGCTCGCGTCTCCAGGCAACGGGCATAACAGGGGCCAGCTGCGGGCGCCGGTGCGGCCGGCGGTGAGTGGAGGGGTTTGGTGCTGCGATTTCCCCTGAGCTGGAGTTGTCTCTGACAGCCAGGTACGCGGAAGGGCGGGAAGACGTGGGGTCAGCCCCTCGCGCTCCCAAGGGCCCGATGGACAAAATGAAGGCTTGTCTCCAAAGCGGAGCCCCCAGTGGGGACCCCCCGGCTGACCCTCCAGGACAGGGTGTGACTTCCGTGTTCCGGACCTCAAACCCGCGGCGGTCGGGTCAGGTGCCCCTCTCCCACCCCCTTTTTCAGGTTACAAACCTCCCACCGCTGGGACTCCTTGGGTGAGGGTTTGACGGCCAGGCACCTGCTGCAGGCCCCGTGCGGCTGCTCTGCTCCTGGGAGTGGAGCGCGGACCCAGCGGGAGGGAAGCGCTGAGAGCTCTGTGGGCCGGTCACTGCCTCCGGCCGCAGTTTTCTCACCTGTAAAATCATGGGGCTGGACTTGGAGTCTTAAGGTCCCTAAATTACAGCCATGTAACTGAGCCAACTCCTCCGTTTATAGTGGAAAAATTGGAGCCAGCAAGGGGAGGTGGCTTGTCCTGTGTTGCAGAACGAAAACCTGACTTCCAATCCAACAGCTCTTCCCAGAGCGCTTTGCACCCATATGGAGTATGTACTGTGTGTGCCAGGAGCACCCCTCTGTACAGCGGAGGCTGGTACCGGGGTCGAGGAAAGGTAGGTGGCAGGAACACCTGTAGCACATTCGTTTTTCTATCTTCAGGACCTGATAAGCATTCACAGGACTAAATAAGCCCTCACCTAACGCTTCCGGAAGGAGAGCTCTGGCAGACTCGGCACCACTGTCCCTAAAGGCTTAAAGGAAAACGTGGGTAGGACACATGTAGACAGTTGCTTTAATGACCAAGGTGAACTCAGAAAAAACTTCTCACCTGTATCTGGTTTAAACCTCCTCTAGGCTTCAGTCCAGACCCTGAATGGCTGATCTCCACTTGGCACCACCTCTGCCTGTGGGTGTGATGCTCCCGCATAATAAAACAAAAGCTCCCGGGCTCCACGCAAGTAAGCAAGAGCCCTATGAAAAAGGTGACTCTCCCCAGCTGTCCTCAATGGGGCACCTGAGGCATCATTCCCAGGAGAAGCTTTTGAGCAACAAAGAGCTGATGATGCTGAATCATCCCTACCCTCACACCAAACGGAACACCTGTGAGAGAGCTGGGAGCTGCTTCTGTCCCCACCGTGCTGGACTCAGCCAGCAAGAGCCAAAGAGCCACCTCCAGAGCCAAGCCAAGGATTTGTTTTACTCATCAGGCCCTCAGTCTCAGTACCCCAAAGCAAATAACCATGAATTCATCCCCTTCACAAAGAAGCGAGTTGGAGTGGACCGGGCATACCCACTGAAACCTGTGTTCCACAGGAAGTCTCATAGTACAGGTGAGACTGGCATGGATGGGGACCAAGACGTCTCTCCAAGACCCCCTGGGCCAAGGGAGTTGTCATACAGCGGCTTTGGTTTGAGGAACTGGGCCGGCTCATCTGTGGTTGGTACTGCTGCTGCCAGGCAGGGGGAGAGGACCATGGCAAAACCCACCCGGACCGAGTGGCTGCAGATCCAAAGACTAGAAGCTGCAGGGGAGAATTTAGAGGAGGAAATCCGAAGAAAAGAGACCCTCCTACGGGAAAAGCTGAAGAAGACAGAAGAAGAACTCAGAAGGATCCAGAAGGAAAAAGAACAGGCAGAGGAAAATGAAAAAAGGGAGTTACAGAGACTGACACTCCCCAGGAGGAGACTTAAAGGTAATAGCAACACCACTTACAGACCCGTCTTCTCCCCAGACTATGGCTCTAAGGAGGTCTTCAGTGGAGAGGAGGAAACTTGGGGAGGGTCTCAAGAAAATTGTAGTCCATTCCAGTTCTCTGGTTATGGGATGCAGAAGCTCAAAAGGGAAAGACTAGTGGCAAACAACAACAAAATCCGAGACCGCGCCTCGGGGCAGGTGAAGGAGAAGTGTCCTCAGCCTACAGAAGGGCCAGGCAGCACTTTGCCAAGGTCCACCAGCAATTCTAACTGGCCTAGGGCACCACACTCCTCAGGTTCCAGCTGTTCCACCGAAGAGCCAGAACTGGGCAAATGCAGCCACTGTGGACGCAACTTTCTCTTGCTCAGGCTGGAGAGACACTCCAACGTCTGCAGCAGGATGCAGAGCTCCAAGAGGAAAGTGTTTGACTCCTCCCGGGCCCGGGCCAAGGGCACAGAACTAGAGCAGTACTTGAACTGGAAGGGACCAGCCTCAGTCAAGGTAACAAGGACCTTACGGATTTGACCTTGAGTGGGGATCATTGTAAAGGCCTGTTATAGCCTCATTTGGTGTTTGTTTTTTTAAGAAAAAATTTAATTGTTATAAATTAACAATTATTGGTTATTAATGAACATTTATTGGTTATTACTGTGAGCAGGAGTTTCATACGACCCTCACCACAAACATGAGGATTTCATGATCTCTTATCAATTCAAAAATCAAGTCTCAGGTCAACTTGAATGAGATCACAAACAGCTTTAAGTGGCAGAGTCAGAATATAAAACTGGGTTGGAATGACTCCAAAATCCAGTCATTTGTTGTTGTTAATCCTCACCCCAGGGTATCTAGAAGAAATTTATCACTTTCATGTATTTTATCATGTAATTTGTCACTCTTTTATTATAAAAGTGATAAACATTTACTTTTAGAAAATTTAAAAGAAAGGTACTATTCTGCATTTTACTACCTTGAGAGAGTTCCTTTCACTTTGCAATATACTTTGCCACCTTCCGAGATTAGAATCTGTTACTACTCCTGTGACCACATCTACTTTTTCAAGATTAGCTCAGTTTTTATATACCTTCTAAGTAAAATACATGAAACACAATTAAGTTTGGAATTCTTCTCTCCATTTAGAGTGTAAACACCTTAAAGGTGAATGACTTTATTTTTGGTTAACATTTCCAGCTGCAGAAAACCTAGCTGTAAAAAGTAAGGACTTTGGGACATTTCCATGATAAGCTTAGGGGAACTTCATTGGCACATTTGGACCATTAGATCTGGAGGGGATTGTCCCGTGAATAACTACCACCCTGTCAAGGTTATGCCACTTGATTTGTAAATGAGTGTTTCTCAAAGTGTGGCATGCTGTCAGACATTTTTTATTTTAGTAGTTTTAGTGTTTGTTAAAAAATACAACATATTATGCCCTTGATTTCTAAGAATCATGAATTTAAAGAAAATATTAATGGGGGATAAAGTGAATGTAGTATGCAAATGGTCAACATTTGTGAAAATCTAGACCACATGATCTCAGAGCCTCTACTATTCTAGCAACATGTGAGTCATTCTGTTTTCATTTCTTTTTTTTAATTAATTTTTTTTTAGAAAGAGGAAGGGTTGGAAGGAGGGAGGAAGAGAGAGAGGGAGGGAGGGAGAAAAACATTGATTTGTTGTTTCACTTATTTATGCATTCATTGGTTGATTCTTGTATGTGTCCTGACCCGAATCTGGTGTATAGAGACAAAGCTCTAACCAACTGAGCTATCTGCCAGGGCACTACTCTAGTGGTTTATTTCTGGCCAGAATGTAAATTAAATTCCTAAATACAGTAGCAGTGAAGCAAAAGATTTGGGTGTCTGGGATCAGATACCCTTGCTTTGTGGAAACTAGTTTGGGGGAATATGTTGCATCGAAGACACCAAGGCAGAAAGGATCTGCATTGAGATGCACTCCCCTCCTTGGAATGTCCTGTCTCATTCCCAAAGTTTGTGCCCTTAGAAACTGAGTAGTTTGTGTCTCCCTCTCATTCTTCTAGTGCCGTGGCCAGCAAACCGGCTCTTTGGCCCCTTGAGTGTGGATCTTCCTAAACCTTAGGAGGACCCTAATTAAGTTAATAACAGTGTACCTATCTATATAGTTTAAGTTTAAAAAATTTGGCTCTCAAAAGAAATTTCAATCGTTGTACTGTTGATATTTGGCTCTGTTGACTAATGAGTTTGCCGACCACTGTTCCAGTGTATTCAGTAGGAACAGGTGATTTTTCTGATATCGTTTAATATTCATGTAACTTTCAGTATACGCATACCTCTTGTCTCTCTACTGGACCATAAGCATTTGAGCATAGAGGCCACATTTTGGTACTTTGTGATTGTGCTAACTGAATATAAAAACAAACGAAGAATTTAAGTATCATAGTTGGCAAACTTTTCTCTAATTCAGTTCCTGGACACCACCTCCAACATGGATTCTCTTGCCTTCTTGTCTATTTCAATAAGACTCTCCTGATGGACCCTTCCTTTTCCTTCGATAATATCTCTTCCTAGTATTCATCATTAATGATGTGACATCACTTGCCTTCTTTTTAAGATTCATTTTTATTAGTCTAAATATTTGAATACATTTTATAAACATGTGTACGGCCATTGTAGTGGAATTACAATTTTGTGTTAAACCAGTGGTCAGCTTTTACATTATAATAACCACATATATTCTGTTCACTGATGAGTGAACAAATTCTGTCCTGCCCACATGCACCTGGAGTTAATAATTGACTTATTTTCAAATGTACCTTATCTCTATAATTTTTTTTAATGATTCACCTGATGTCAGACACCTGCTAATGTTTTTGTAATTGTTCAAACACCTCAGACAGTCCATCAGTTTGATTTTTTAAATTCTGGAAACCTCCCTTTGACCACTCTTTTCCCTCCTGCTCTAGTCTGCACTGGTTATTTCCACACCTGGTGCATCCCTGTTGTCTTGGGACTTCTCTTTGCTTCTCCGCTGTGTTGGGTCCTGTTTCCAGCATCCGAGTCTTCCTTGTTCTTGCTATACTTCTTTCCTTGTGGGAGTTTACTAAGAAAGATGCACGGGAGACATATGTTTGTTTGGAATGAATGAAAATATCTATGTCATAGCCTTATAATTTGATTGATGCTTGGCCAGGTAGAGATTTCTTGATGGAAAATGAGTTTCTGTTCAGATTTTTGAGGCATTTTCCCACTAGTGTTTAGCATCCAATGTTACTGTTGAGAAATCTGATGCCATTTTGATTTTTGCTCCATTATAGGAAATCATCCTTTTTTTTGTTTTTCTAAAATCTTACAGGATTTTAAGTTCTGTAAGTCTGGTTTTATAATGATTATGTTGGGTACTTGGTAAGCTATCTCAATCTTAAGAGTAGTGACATTTAACTCTAGGAATGTTTATAGTATTATTTCTTTAATACTTTCCTCCTCTTGCCTTCTTTGTGTTTTTTGTTTGTTTTTGGAATGCATATTGGCCAGATGTTGAACTTCCTGGATTGAGTTTCTAATTTTTTAATATTGTATTTTCTACTTTCCATCTTGATCTTTCCCATTCTGCATAATCTTCTTGACATTATTTTGTAACATTTTTATTTTCTGCTATCAGTTTTAATTTATCAAAGTTCTAAAACATTTATACTGATTTTTATATAGTGGAAGGGAGAGGGAGAAATATTGATGAGAAACATTGATCATCTGCTACCTGCATGCCCCCTACTGGGAATTGATCCCTGACCAGGAATCGAACAGGTGACCTCTTGGTACATGGGATGATGCTCAACCAATTGAGCCACACCTGCCACGCCTTTCTGGTCTTTGTTCCTTTTCCATAGTGTATATATTCTTCTTGTTTTATGGTCACAATTTCTTCTAATAACTTCTTTGTTGGTACTATGGTTTTTCATTTAAAAAATGTTTTTTCCTGGTACCTGCTTTGTTGCTGCTTCCTGAGTGTGTGTGTTTGCTTGTATACTTGTTTTGGTCTCATGTTCGAGCTTACTCAAATATCTGGTAATACTTGGCTGTCCATTCATATTTAAGCTTAAGTGGGCTTGTTGACTAAGGACCTTCATATTAGGGTTATCAAACAGTGAGCCTTTTAATTGCCGTCCCCCAGGGCTAGTGTCTGATGGCTTTTCTCTTGCCTGCTTGGCGCATCCAGAGAACCCTTCAGTCTCCTAAGAAGGTGCCCATGTGTTTGGCACCCAGGGAGCCAAGTGAGGGAAGGAGGCTGACAGTTCTGCAGCTCATCATGTACACTTGTACTTGCTCCCTATTTTCAGCCCCAAGATTAACCTTTTCCCCCCTGTGCCTGGATTTCGTGAATCTGACACCTGTCTGGTTCAATTTCTCCAGAGAATAAACTCCTGTTCTCCTGTGAGGATGTGGATGTGCAGGGTGGGATAGCAGCCCTGGGGGCCTGGCACTTTCTAGCCCCGAGGCTCTCCAGGTCTCTCCTGGGGGTCATGGCTTGCTTCTCGGTACTCATCCCCCTTTGCAGGCCCTCAGTGTAAGTGCCTCCACACAGGCAAGTCAGGATTGAACCGTTTCCTTACCGTCATTCTAGTGGAGACTCGGGAGATGAGATAAATGCCACGTTGAATGATTGGTCTGCCTTCTACTTATAGGCTGAAGCTCCACGGAAGAGCAACTGGAGACAGAAGCATGAATCCTTCATCCGTACCCTCCGCCAGGCTCGAGAGGTCCAGCGGGTAATTGCCAAAGGTGGCAACCCCTCAGACTTGCCTCCCATCCCGCCTGCAGAAAATCCAGACTATATTCAGTGTCCTCACTGTAGCCGTCACTTTGCTCCCAAGGTGGCTGAGCGGCACATTCCCAAGTGCAAGACCATCAAGAACCGTCCTCTGCCTCCAAGGAAGCATTCCAGTTGAGCAGACAGGAGTGGAAACCTCCTCAGTCGTTCCAGAAAACTCGGCTTCTCTTGAGCAGTAGGTAGGAGTAGAATGATTTGATGCAAAGCAGGAAGAACTAGAATTTGTACGTCTCCCAGATCAGCCTGCAGAGCTGAAATCAGGGAGGAGAAACCCATTGCTAGCAGCAGGAGGCAGAAGGAAGTCAGCCTCCCACCTCAGGCTGGTGTGCCTCATGTTACTGCCCTAAGAACTGATGGGTGAAGACAGTTAAGAGTGGCGAGCAGGCTACATTAAAGCTGTCTTCTCACGAGCTGGCTTGTGGTTTGTGCTAGCTAAGTGCCTGCATCTGCTTGGCCTTCTTGCCACTGCCTCCGCATGTTTGTCTGTGGCTCCTGTTAACTCTTCTCATTCTTGTGAGAAGTTGGCTCATTCAGATGAGTTGGTGTCAGAGGACCTAGGTCACCCAGATGATATCTCATAAAAGATAATACAATTTCATTGTAAGGCAAATGGAAGTCTGTCCGTGACCTCCCTGGTGCATGGTCCTGGCTAAAAACCAATACATCCTAAACCCTCCCTATGGTGTACTGTCTCGTAAAGGGAACCTCATCTTCATCTACGTCACAGGTAGGGATGGGGGAAAACACACTGTATGTCTCTGTAGTTGTTCTTTTCTAATGTCAAAGGGGAGGAAACTTCAGCTTCAGCTATTGCTAGCACTCTGCTTTCAAATGAGGTTGGTAAGTTGGATGGATGGTATTTCAAATGAAGCAGCAAAATGTACCATGAAAGCAAGCTGTACATTGCTATGTGCATGTCCCCACTGACTATACCACCCACAGGCAACTTCTTTTTTAGAAAGCAAACTTTGAAGGAAAAGGTACCAGGTGTTTTTCATTTTCTCTGTGCAGAATCATGCCTAGTGCAAGGAACCTTTATAATTAGACCCTCAATAAATGGGTTTGTGGGATTTAAAATTAAACAAATGAGCCCTCAACTTGCCAAGTGGGAGCAGTGATGAGGTGTATCTGACAGAGTAGTATCAGCTCTGATAGGATGAAGCTAGTATAACAGACCTGAAATACCAGTAGGGTTATTGTCCTGAGAGCATTCACTCCAATTATTAGTTTAAAATACTGTAAAAGTCACCCAACCTGACCCGGGCAGAGAGGACTAGGCACACAACAAAACCGTATTTTACTCAACAACAGACGGCCACTCATTCCTGTTTCATTTCCACTGCAGCTTCTGCTGAGTGGCGGGGCTAACAGATCAAACCCCTTTGAAATGTGAGTTTAAGACTCTAGCTGTGAAGCTACAGGACATTAGGCTGGAAAAAAAATTACGTATTTTAAAAACAGCATATATTGACTTGTTTTATGCTTTTAACTGTTGCAAAGAAAAAAGTATCACATAACAGGGCTTTCAGTTGGCCACTTAAAGAAGCCTCACATACACAGTGGATATTTAATCCAACTATGACATTCCCCAGGCAAGTTTAACAAGGTCCACTTTGTTTCATACTTGATGGTAAAAACAATAGATGGCAAAAATGGGCCGTGGCCAAACGTTACTAAGTGGTGGCCTGTGGACTGCTTGCCCCACAGTTTATTTGCTGGCACAGCACTAACGATATAACCTGGCATTTACAAACTGGGATATGGAGCATCTCTTACATAACTAGAAGTTCTGGAAAGACCAGGCCAGCCACCCTGCATGGCACTAATTGAATGAGGCTCAGAACCAATTGCTCCTTGACAGGGGAGAGCATTCAGAGCACCACAGGCCCACTTATGTGCCTTATCTGCCTGGCCCCACAGGCACTGGGCTGGGGATCCCTGCATGATTATTAAGGTCACAGATCCGGGCCCTCCGGGGAGAATAAAGTGTGTGTGTGTGTGTGGGGGGGGGGGGGGGGGGGCAGGGTGCTTTCTAGAGACACAGGAAGCAGTTACTCACTATGTTGCTAGAGAAATAAAACAATAGTCAATGTCTTAATGTTCCCTTCAGTCACAACATGCTTAGGCCTTGATTATGTCCGTCTTTTAAATTTAGCTTGAACTGATCTTTGGGAAGTCTCTTCCTGGGTAGCAGAGAATGATGCGTGGAGAAATCAATGCTGCTTGTTAGTCTATGTATTATACTACTTCATCCAAGAACCTTTAGTGCATGTAAATGTTATAAATTATAAAGTTCAAAGGTTAAGCAGTGGGGAAAATCTCATAGTTAACTCACTGTGTGCAGACATGGTAACATAGTGCTGCTTAACAGTGGTGTATTTAAGGCAGCACACTACCTTTGGGCCAGCATTTTTTTTTTTTTGTCATCAATTTACCACTTCACAACTGCACAGGAGGTAGCTGAGATGTGATACTGTTTTTCTCCCAAATGTTATGATTCTATGAGGTTTAGTGATCAGTATGTTTATTTCCATAGTTAGTTATCGAAGCAATAAATGATTTTTGGCTTTGCAGTAGGGAAGAACATGTTTTGTAGCCCTGGCTACAGCCCACTCTGCCCTGACACTATCATGAATAATACTTTATAGGCCCAGGGATACTTTTTTGAAAGAATTTATTTACATCTTTGCTCCAGAGTTGGTCTATTATGAATGTTTCCAAATACATGGCAAACCAAATGAAATGTGAGTTTAAGGCTGCTTTTGCTTTACACTCTAGTGAAATGCTCAGCCAAGAGAAGTTGTAACGTGGCTGTGCTATGCCAGGGAGACCAAAATACAGTTCATTCTCTTTGAGGGAAACCAGTTTTATAAACATAAATGGCATCATCACTTGAAAAAGCCACTGTGATCAGGGAGGCAAGTACAAGAAGTGATTCTTCCTCCTCTAATGGCTTGTTTTCTTCTCCCTCTGCACTTTAGCACAGTATTTCAGAAGGTTTTTTTGGGAGTGGGGGAAATGATTCTGTTAGTAAGAAATTGGAAGGAGGAAAGATTATTTCTGTGCAAATGTCCCTTGCATTGTTTCTGTTACCACTGAATTAAAAGATTCACGAAGGCCTGGAATCTGAGTGTTTTATCCCCAGTGACAGTGTCCATGCACAGACTTAGTAAGGCATAGCACTGATTGAGAGTTTAAATGTTTATTTAAAATAGAAATGCCAAACCACTCCACCCTCAACCTTTCAAACATCTGGCCAACAAAAGCTAGTTCTTCAGCAACAATGTCAGAGCAGAGGAATAACTCAGGTTATACTGTAACTCAAAAGCAATACTACGGAAAACTTAAACACCTAGCACTGTATAGAGAAGTGGAGAATTACAGAAAACCATTCAAAGACATTTCTGCTACCTCACTTTTCACTTTTTATCTAAGCATGGCTGCCACCTTTGAACTGGTTTCTGTTTGCATAGCTGTTTGGTGGAGAAAATACCGCTGTCCCAGGCACAATTTGGGAAAGTGCAAATTGTTTCTAAGGCACAGAATTTAGATTCTCAGCCAGGTTCATAGCAAACCTAGGTTTCCCAAGGGAACATGCTAGAGAAAATGACCACAGCGTTCCACTGCTAGAGAGTAACTCCGGAACAAGGACAGGGGTCTTACCCTCCCTTCAATGCTCACTTCCATCCCCCAGTCTCAGCCACATCCCATGTTCCTCAGATCCATAGCAGAAGCAACACTCATGATTAACACCCAAACTGACCCTGCCTCTGAGGCCTGCTGAGATGGTAAGCATGAGGGACACAAGAATGTGAAAGGCCAGTCAGTCCTTTAAAAAAATCAAAGTTGCGTTTACATGGTGAACCAAACCCATTATTAGGGTGTATAGCAAACCCCCAAGTCCCTAGAATTTGTAGCTTAATCCAGGGTTGGCCCCTTCCCTTATTTTAAGAAAAGGCTTCAGTGATTACATTAGTACCATTGTACTAGGCTTCCCAGAACTGAGAAAACAATGGGAACATCAAACCAAAGAAGATCCCATTGGACAGAGTTGCCCATCCCCAGCTATGGGGTTTACCTGGAACATCAGCCTTTACATCATCAGTTTACAGGGAAATGACAACATTTCCATTGCACAGATCCTTCCAAAGTATTAAATAGACATCAAACATTTATGTTTTGGTTTAGGGAAAAGGAAATAAAACAATGTAGCTGTTTCTAGGAAGGTAGGATGTGAAACTCTTCAAGGCGGTCCAAGGCGGCCCATGAACCTTTCACAAGGCTAGGTGGAGATACCAAGCTCACACCCTACGTAAGATCATCAAACGCTCTAGGGCACTTTCTTTGGGAAAGCCAGCTTGCTCCGGTCTATAAGGACATGACTACATGATTAGAAGGGAGCTCGGCCAAATTCCTTTCACTTGGCAGGCTTTACCTGTTCTGTTAGGGACTACCAGGTTTGGGGGCTGGCTTTGGGCCACTTAAGTATGAAAGGTGATACAGATTCACTGATAACGGCGTCATAAACACCAAAGGGAGAAAATACTGACTAGACATACAGAAAAGGAGTGGATGGGGCTGCTGATGTCAAGATCAGAACCGTAAGAGCCATGAAGGCAGAGGCATAAGAGGCCGCCTGGATGGAAGACTGTCACTGCCGGCCCCTCTAACATGCAAGCAGAGGCAGCTAGAGGACTTCCTGTCCCTCATGGTTTTCTCTTAAGGCCACTCCTACTGCCCGACTGGCTCAATTCTCTACAAGCCACCTCATCTCTCAGAGGCATCTTCCAAAGCTAGGAAAGCCCACCCTGCACTGGCCACAGCTGGACACTCCAGCTGTGTGATGAGGAGGGACCTGCCCTTCTTTCTCTACTCCTCACCAAAGAAATTTCAATCAACCTCAGAGGAAAAGCAATTGAAGCCCATTTTTCCTCCTAAAGCACTGAGCTGCACGATGTAACTGAACTTTCTGAAAACTGGCCCAAGAGACTGACTCCACCAGTCTTTCCTGGACTCAGGACTCCTGAGAGGGCTCAGAGCACTTCACCTCTCTACAGATGACCCTGGGGGGGGCCCACCTGGTTCCAGCCCACTCCAGCTTCACACTTTTCCCTCCTCCACCCAGAGGTGCAATGCCTGATATTGAATTTCCAAGGCAGCTTCCAATTAACGGTGAAAATGATAAATGGGATATAAGCTGCTACCAGCAAAATTAAGGTGAGCATTGTGTCTCCTCTTCAAAGGTGGGATCACCAATGAGGTACAGAGCTGCTGTTGCTATGGCAGTCACTGAGGACCAAGCCAGGGCCACGGGGCCCTTCCATTCTCCAAAACAAAACCACTCCTAGATCCTATCTAATAGGCAATGCCACTCTCCAAGTGTATGTGGAAAGTGCTTCAGAGCCTC